TTAGAGCATTATCTAGGGAGTTAAGTGACTTTCCCAGTGTCACACAGTCATTGAGTACCTTGAATTCAGGTCTTTCTGCCTCCAAAGTTGGCTGTATATCTACGACAGTAAGTCGTCTCTATACACCCCATAGTATAAATATTAAAATTAATTGACCTATGCCTAGAAAGCTTTTTGGGAGTCAGGCAATTCTAGAATAGCATACTTGCTGTATATCTAGATCCTTCTTCCCTGCCCTTTACCTATCCCTTTCATGTAGGCTAAATCATAGGATCATAGATTTAGATGTAGATGACCAAACAGCAGATCCAAATACCCACCAACCTACCCTCCATTTTATGGAGGAGAAAACTGAGGGCCAGAGAAGCTAGGTGATTTACCTAATACCAAAAAGGTTGTATGTAGCAGAAGTAGGATTTGAACCTGGGTCCTTTGAGCATAGTCTTTTGAACCAAGGGCCATGACTCTTTCCACCCTATCATACTGAAATTCCTGTCTGCTAATAATTCACTCACCCTATACAAGTTGGTGAAGACTCTTGTGCTGGAATGAGAACATTTAGATGGGATGCCTATGAAAAGTGAACTGCTCAGATATGTGGGATTTGAGGTAGTCTAATTCATTGGGCTATTGTGAGTATTAAATAAGAACATGTAAAGTGAGTTGCAATCTTTGGAGTGCTAGATAACTGCTAGCTATTATTACTCATTGAAGATAGGTCAATGTGAGTAAATGCATGATCTAGAGAGAGAAAATATGGTGAAAAATATTTGAGTAAGAATTAGTGGGAGGAGAAACAATAACAAAATCAAAATAGGTGTATAAGATGGACTATGAAATTAAAAGGAGGAAATTGATAAGGAGTTAATGAAGTGGATCAGTAAAATGGAATAAAGGATTATAGTATGATTGTGGATTTCTGCTACCTGGACATATGAAGAACTTCTCTCCAATAAAATAAAGCAGTCAATAAATATACTTTCCTTAATGAAAATTTCATCCTTTAAAAGGCATAAAAAGTAACAGGGAGAACTGTTTTCTGGATGAAACTCTAACCAGTAAGTAGAAACTGGTTGCCAAATTAGGAATGATAGGAACTTTGGGAGGAATTGACCATTCCATCTGAGAGATTGCAATAAAAGAGAAAGTGACTCATAGCATGGTGTGCACCTTAGATTTGTGGGGGAGGGGGGGAACAAGATTTCAGAAAAAAGTTAGAATCCTATAGCCTACCTAAAATTCTAGAGTAAGCTGGTCCAAGAGGAATGGGATGCTCTTTACAATAAATTCTGAAAACAAGAAGAAATAATTCTGAGCAAGAAAATGATAGACACTGTAAAAAGACTAATGGGGCTGCATGTAGAATTCATCAACTAACTTTTTTTGAGTATTTACCTATCAACTGAAGAATGACTAGAGAAGGTGTTATGCCTGAGGATAATGGAATATTACTATGTTGTAAGAAATGGTGAATTTGGTAAATACAGAGAAAAATTGGAAGAGTTACACAAACTGATGGAAAGTGAATTAAGCCAAACTAGAAATATAATAAAATGCCTATAACAGCATAACTGGAAACACACACACACACACACACACACACACACACACACACACACAAAATAGAAATTGAATGCTGTAAAATTATAATGGCCAAGCTTGGTCTGAAGGAACAGATATGACAAGACACAACTCTCTTTTCTTTGCAGAGGTAGGGGACTATGTATGTACAGAACACTGCATATAATATCAGACTTGGTTGATATATATATATGTATATATATACATATGCATATATATACACACATACATATATACATATATCTATGTATTTATGTGGGTTAATTTTGCTGAACTATATTTTACTTTTTTATTATTTGGAATAATAGATCTCTGGGAGGGGGAAGGGAGGTATATGTTGGAAGATGTTGGTGATATAAAAACAAAAGATATTAATTAAAATAAATAAAAGATCTGTTTAGAAGATGAAACAAAAGGGAAGTAATTAAGGATTAATACAAAAGAGTATTATGGTCTTACAAGCCTCATTCCTAGAGAACTTAAACTTAGAAGGAACTGAAGCTGTCAATGAATGCCACGTATAATAAACATAACTTATTAACCTATGTTGGAAAAAAGAGGAGGAACAAAGAGTGGAAAGGAATGCTACTTGATGTAGATATGGGATGACCGTGAGAAGGCAAAACTAATTACCTTTTAGTTTGCTGGTTTTCTTAACCAAAAAGAACAATCTAATCTAGGATGGGTAAAAAAGAGTTGAAATTCAAGATAAATGAGAAGATAGTGGGAGAGTACTTAGCTCGCTTCTGTGAGTTTATGATCTGGACAGATGAACTACATACCAGGGTACTGAAAGAAACAAAGGATGTAATTACTGAAATGCTATCAGTACTCTTTGAAAAGTTCATGATAAAAAAGGTTATAACAAATGGAAAAGGTTTTGTGAACTAATTAGAGGCAAAATCCTGGTTTTCAAAAAAAGAAGATTGATTCTTCAAAGTGTATACCAGTAATACTGACTCTAATTCTTGTCAAAATCCTAGAACACATTGTTTAATAGTTATTTTGTGTGCATTTGGAAAGGAAGTGATCACTAGGACCCAGCATGGCTTCCTTTTCTTCCTCTTTTTTCTTCATAATTGGTAGATCAGCAAATAATATCGATATTAGCAAGACATTCAAAAATGTCTTATTATATATCCTTATGGACAAGGTGGAGGTGTGTGAGCTGGGTCACACAATGGAGTTATATAATAAATGCATTTAGGGTCATAGGAATAAGAACTGGATCTGTAATTTCATTGATACAGGTTACTCCCAGGTGTGGAAACTCCCTCTACCAGTACAGGTTCATACTTTCTCTTCAACTAGTCTTAGATAATGGTATAGGGCACTAAAATATTAGTGGTTCATCCTGGGTTTTACAACCAGTACATACCAATGGTAGAACTTAAATCTAAGTCTTCCTGGCTGAGACTAGCTCCCTAACCACTACATCAGATGCTTCCTCATAAATGAATTTAGGATGTGTGTGTGTGTGTGTGTGTGTGTATAT